GTTTCTGCTCCCTAACAGGACTCACTGCCCCCGCCCCCACCCTGATAGGGCCCTGCTTGTGGAGAACACACCCACAGAACAGTGGGGAGGAGAGGAGAAGCCCTTCCTTTGTGTCAGATGCAAAATGTTCCTCCCCAAAGGCAGAAAGGACTATTTTATAGGATATGTGGCAAATTCACACCCACTTTGGCACAGATAACTGAGAAACTTGACTGAAAGTTAACCAAAGTATTTCCTACTTTAGAATGCAAATGGAGTACCATAAGAAAAATTCACACGTAGAAAATATCTTCATTTTGGATCAACATGGCTTCTTGAATGTCTGAAGACAACAGGACAGCTTTTATCAGTGAAGCTACCAGACAGTTCAACTGTTTCTTTAACATTTCCTCAGACACCACCTCAGACAAATACCTAGAACTCATTGTCCTCCCACAGGTCACCGCAAACTTAACTGCTACATTTTCTCGAGCCATTGATTATTAGGGAATTTAAAATATACTACTGCACTACACACAAAATTCCCTGTGTCACGGGGAAAATCACACTGTAATACCCCTCACTGCCCAAGGCCACCCCTGAGTTTTTCTAAGACAGATGAATTCAAGTTAGAATAAACCTGAATGAAATGTTGAAGGGAAGGGCAGTTTTCTCCAAGGGGTGGCCTCACTTCTCTGCTTTGAGGTTAAGTTCGTGGCGCAGCTCAGGAGGACAGTTGCTGCTGGAGTCTGCTACACTTCATAGTCACCCCGTCCCCCTGCCTTCCTGGCTGCTCTTGGGGGGTTTTATTTTCCCCTAGAACTCGGAGCCACTTCTGTTGTGTCACTTTTAGAGAAGTAGTAGTGGTAGCTACCCAGACCACCTTCTGTTCTATTTTTCCCTTTTTTAAAACAGCATTATTTGAAATATAATTCACATACCATACAATTCATCCATGTAAAGTGTACAGTTCAGGTTTTAGTGTATTTACAAGGTTGTGCAACCGTCACCACAATCTAATTTCAGAACATGTTTTATCTCCCCTAAAAAATAAAAACATAAACCCACTAGTAGTCAATTCCCATTCCCTCTTACCCTACCCCCAGCCCTAAGCAACCACTAGTCTACTTTCGATCTCTATAAATCTGCCCATTCTGGACATTTCATATAAATGGAATTATACAGTATGCGGTCTTTGGTGATTGGCCTCTTCCATTTAGCATGTTCTTAAGGTTCATCCATGTTGTAGCCTGTATCAGTATTTCACTTTTTTTATTGCCAAATGATAGTCTTTTGTAAGGCTAGACCACATTTTGGTTGTTCATTCATTTGATGGACATATGGGCTCTTTCCATTTTTAAGCTATTATGATTATTGCTGCTATAAATATTTCCATAGTGTTTTTCCATTTTGAGATGTGAATTCAATCTGGTAAAATGAATAGCCTTCACTATGACTAAGATGTAACTAAGATCTTTGTGTTCATGTTCTGTTAGTCAGCAAGAGGGTCTGGAAATGTCTTTCTCCAGGAGGGCCTAACAAGATGATTGACACAAAGATGTTAATTTTAGATTTATATTTCACTTAAACTTAGTCACATAAGAGTATGTGGAAGGAGATGAGAAGAATGTCAGGAAATTTTTTTCGTGAATGTTGCACCTGCTCGCTTAGTCCTCACACAGATGTTGATGCACGTGCAGGCACAGAATACACGCACTCTCTCTGCCTGCCGGGCTTTTGGTCCAGCTGTCTTAGCTTTCTGCTTCAGAACCAAAGTTGACAAGACCAACGACCAAAAAAAGGAAGCCAATCTCAGAGACAGGGCCAGGGCCAAAACACAGCCGCTGCTGCTGGGTTGGAAATACTGGAAGCCATCCTTGGGCCATTTGGAAATGTTAATTAGGCTGGCTAATTCCCACTGCTCTTGGGTTGCCAGTGTTGAGTTGAGTGTGTAAGCTTACTCCATCCACGGCTGCACCTGTTCCCTTCCTCAGAGCCATTCCAAGGGGTCTGAATAGCCCAGACAGCTCTCTGATCTCCCACTCTGTCCGCCTTCCTACTGGGAGGATATTTAGCACTCGCCTAAAGCTGGAACCTTGGTCCACTGTTTCTCTCCCTCATTTATGCCAGCTCTCAAAAATCATTCTCTTCCCTAATTATCTTTAACCAGTTAATCATTCTCCACACTGACTGTTCACTAGCAAGAACCCAGGGAGAGGCAGCCACTTTTGTCTGACCCTGCCCAGCATTATCCCAGGTGGCAGTCCTGGGTGGCAGCCTTTCCTCAGAGATAAGAAGCTCGGTTCAAATCCTTGCTCTTTTGCTCTCCTAGTGAGTACAGCCAAAGAAAACATGCCACAAAAAGACCCAGCGGTCCTTGAAAAGCCTCCACTAGGCAGAGCTGTATGGAACACAGCAAATTTCCAACGAAGACTCTTGTTCCCTGTGTTTTTTTAAACCTTGTTGATATCCAGAGTATCAGAGAAGTCACACCAGCCCAGAGAAGTAAGACATCTTTCTCTAAAAGTGACTTCCAGATTCTCTGGACTCCCGCTCTGTGTCTGACCCCTGAGTGGCCCACTGGCATCTGAGTCACACTTGCAGGGCCCCCCACAGAGGAGTCTCACTCAGCCGCTCTTAGATGTGAGCAAGCCAGCTTCCGATCCCCAGCACCACTAACGTGTTGAAAAAAAAACCGTTGAATTTAAGACACGTAGTAACTCCATAATCCAGTGTCTCTCAATCTTTTTTTCATGATTGCCCCATCATAGTGGCTTCTGAGACATTTTTATTTCCTAATTTGTCCCCTTCCCCCGAAACACCACAGAAAGACTGTATATCTACTTATTTACTGTACTTACTTCTGGGCTTTATGCACATAAAGAGATATTTTTGCCCCCTCCTCCAAGGGGTGACATCGCCCCATTAGAAGGAATGCTGTAACTCCTCCACCAAGGCCCCCAGAGGCAAGGGCTTCATCTGCATTCTTCACTGCTGTGACCCAGAGCCTAGAACAGCACCTGGTACATATCAGATGTCTGGTGAGGAAAGCCGGAAATAATTATGCTTTGTGTCTCTCCCCAACACCCCCAAGCATCACATGCCTCCTATTCTCTTTCCAGCCCTCATCTCCAAGCACAGTGCTCTCTTCTGGTGCCTTCCAACCCTGCCCAGGTCAGTTGGTACCTCACACTTACCTGCAGGGACATATCAGGAAACTGAGAGCCAACTCCTCTGTTCCAAGTACAGGCCCCTGCCTATAGTAGCACTGCCTGTGTGTCAAGGGCAAGTGACATTTGAGCCCCGTGGAATAATTAAGAGAACCCCCAACTGTCTGTCTTTGCATCTTCTTAACTTACCCATGGATTGGCAGTTATTGAGACATTCTGTTTGGTCCAGCACACCACACCAGGCTGCATCTGGGGACGCACTGGGGAGAGGAGCAAACCAGTCCTCATCAGCAATTACAAACAAGCCTGCATTGTTTAGCTGCGCCATCTGTTTTGGGGGTTTTTGTTTTGGTTTTTTTTTTTGGTTTCTACCAGTTGGGTGTTTATACGCCCAGCATAACCAGGGCTGAGGGGCTACGGGAAAGAGAGACCAAGGAGCTCCTTCCTGAAGACCCCCTTTGCTCACACTGGAGAGGGTCCGTGGCATGGTGCCTTGGAAAGCTGCACCACCTCATCTCACAGAGGACCCATGCAGAGAGGTTCTATATTTGCAGCTTCCGTGAAAGGAAATGGGCTCCACAGCACAGTGCATTGTGGGGAAACAGGAAGTCTAGATAATCACAATATCTAGAGAACCCACAGAAAACCTTCTAGTCTGTTATCCGCAATCAACACTGCCCATGAATTTCTTGTACTCCTAGAGTACAATCAGTGTGGTGAGAAGGAGCAGTGGTCGGAAATCAGGTAAGACAGAGAATGCTACTGGATCATCCATAACCAGTTACTTATCCTGAAATTCCTAACCCCAAATGATTTTTTGGTGGGGGCAATACATTTTCATGAATAAATTAGAAAATACAGCTTCAGAGATGCCCACATGTCTCCAGGGAACCCCACCTAAATGTATGTCGGTGGTCCTTCTGATGGCATTCTGAACCACCATCTTAGAGACTGGGCCTGGTCACTGTGCCATCCTTGGCAGGTGGAGTCAGCAGTCAGTCCAAGTTTACAACTGTGGCCATACAGACAACAGTCTGTGTCACTAATAAATGTCCTTTATCTAGATTTCATGGTGGTCCATTGATGCTGAATTTAGGAGTATTGTGGGGGTTTGTGGCGAGGAGCGATTGCTGGATGCAGAAAGAGGCTGTATTTGCTAGAAAAATCCACACAGGAAATAAGATGGGGTGATTGAGAAAACCTGTCACGAAGCACAGACAAGCTCAGACCCTTTCTCAGGCTCAGTGTGACTGCTAAGGTCCTGCTCTGAGTGAGGGCGAGCATCTGGTCTGATTTCACCACCGCAGAGTCCCCTTCCTGAGCCACCCTCTGCACTGCATGCCATGTGCTTCCTCCCTGGGTACTGTCACATCACAGGTGACACTAGTACTGAATGTGTACAACTCAGAAGTATATAAGATGAAACTTAAAGACATGTAAACTTGCACGCTTAGAGGGTATCGATTATTTTTTTAGGTCATCCATAGAATTCCAAATACTTGTCTTAAAAACTATCTGACTATATTTTGGAGTCAGGAAATATTGGGCAGCAGGAAAAAGGATACTGCGGTCAGTGCTGCCCAGTGTCTCTAGGGCTCCTAATAGCATCTGCTTATACATCCTAGGAATGCTAATGTCTCCTCCATTTCACATCATAAATATGACAGCAGCTAGAATTCTGTCCTGCCTAGTAGAATTTTAAGCGCATTTTCAGTTCATAGTGATCTCTAAGACTGTGACAACATTCAGGCAGCCCAGGAATAAATGTATTATTAGCACTGTGTTCATTATCAAGTTGGGTTGTGGGTGTGCTGGGCTGTATTCACTCGATTTTATGTTCTTTCCCTTCAGATTAAAGTACGTAAAGGTCTCATTGCAATATTTGAGCAAGGTAAGACTGACACTTCAGCGGACATGCCAACCACCCTGCTCTCAGGGAGGGGTGTGTAAATTCACTAACAGGCCTCTTTCCACTGCTAATACCCCACTGAAATGCGCTCTCAAGTTCCTGCTGCTCCCACCTCCCCTCCCGAGGGGCCCTGCCCGCACTCCTGCCCCTGCATGTCTGTGCTGCCCGAGGAAACCTAGCCTCGCCTTTCTTCTGCCCTGTGCACTCTGGGCGGAATCCGACACCAACACCTGCCATCCCAGAAAATGTCTTTGTTGCCCACCCTTTTGTGTTCAGGGCCACAGGGAGCCAGTGGACCCGGATCCGCCCCCTTTTTTGTTGCCCAAGCCGGGAGGAGCTAGATCTTGAGATGGGCTGATAAGACATGGCACGTGCTGGGCCGGCCTTTGACTGCTTGCCTTAATGGAGGCCTCCAAGACCTCAGCGAGGGAAGGACAGGTTGCCGAGGGGGCTGCTGAATGGAACAGCTGGGGAGGAAGAGCAGACAAAAGCTGGGGGAGTGCAGAGGGCGGAGAACCTGGGGATCTCAAGGTTTAGGACCCAGAGGGCAGGCCGGCCGTAGCAGGTGTGACCTCCGTGGGCCTCTGCTTTCTGTCTTGGTCTGGGATCCAGGCCCTTCCCTGTGCACAGACTGATGGACACTGGCCATATCCATGGATTCAGTTCTGGCTGAAAACCCTCCAAGGGTGGCCTGGGCTATACCAACTCATGAGCTCACAGGTGGAAAGGGACCAAATGATGACGACGATGATGATGATGACGACAACGATGATATGGAGAACGTCAGTGAGAAAGCTGTTGTTTATCACTCAGTGGAACGCTTGGCACAGATGTCAGTCACTGTCTCAGTAAATATGGAAGTGGGATGTTTGGGTCTAGTTTTTTTGGTTTATCCCAAACAGCCCCCTCCTCCACCGGTCAGGGGCTGTTACACCTACAGGCCAGATGAGCAGCCATCGCCATGTTGAGCTGACCCTCCAACCCAGCTGCCTTTTCTTTTCCCCTCAGTCAGGGCTTTGGTTCAGTCCTGGGACTGTTCCAAACTGGTCCCAGAGGTGACAAGAGCCACAAAACACATTGGGCTGTGCAGAGCAAGATAATACAATCCCCTCCAGCAGTGGACTTCATGCAAAAATCTTGATTTGCTGGGACTGCTGTATCCATGTGTGTCCGGCTCCTGCTATAAAATGGTAAAGTGGACTCGAGTGTCCTTTGAACAGACCCCCAGCTTCCAGCAGGAGGAAGAGGCCAAGTACGTGGAATTGTCTCCTTCATGGCCCCCTTGCTCGTCCCACAGCTGCCTTCTCCACATCAGTCCCGGGGAGCAGTGGGCATGGCAGGAACCATTGCAGGCTGAAGATGTGCCAGCGGAAAGTTGGGGACAAGAGGAGTGCCGGAGCACTTCAGTGCGGGCTCCGGCTTGAGGGTGGCCTGCTCTTTGCCCCCAGTGGTTGGGGCCACTGCTTTCAGATGCGCAGAGGCCACTGTGCCTCAGAGCTCCATGCAGCTCATCAGAGTTGGCGTCACTGCCCACCTCCCGCCCTGCTCAGATGCAGGAACATGAAGTGCACTCCCCGTCCTTTCTCGCCCTCCCTGGACTTAATATCTCTTTACTTAATAGCCTATCTTTGAACATCACTTTCTTTTTCCTTCATTTGCTTTTTTTTTTGCTTTCCTCTCCCAACTGTATTGATTTTAATAGTGGCTGGGGTGGTTCCCGGTTAATAATGTGATCTTAGGCCATTTGAAGTGAAGGTGTTTCAAAATGGAATATTATCTGGGATTAAATCAGGTTTGTTCCCCCATGGATTAAATGCTAGTGCCCACCTCTGGCTACAAGGGGACAGAGAGATGTCTGTTACCAGTGCCATCTCTGTCATGGATTACAGTATAGCTGTGCTGCCTTTGTCAGAAGTAGTCTGTTTTTGAAGATGAAAATAGGAGAGAGGCCTAAGACGTTTCCTCTCTCTGCCCGACCTCAGTGGAAGCAGAAGGGAGGAGCAAGCTCCTATGAGGGAGTCAAAGTGTTGAGTCTCGGGACACTGGGAAGGTTGCCTTCTTAGGTCCAAGCATGTTTGCAAGTATTGATTTCAGAAGTCCTCCCTAGAAACAACCAGGGAAGATCAGAAAATGAAAAAAGATGCCATCTGTGAATAAGATAACTTACGTAACTTAATTTCAAATGCCAATAATAATAGTAATTTCAAAGGCCAAACTCTTGGAAGTGAAGCAAGTCAGGAGTATAGAAAGCATGCTTTTGAGGTTTGTTCCGGAAGCCTGGGGTGTAATACGACAGGGTTTAAAAATAGAGGGGAAGAAGGGTGATGAAATGATTCTCTCACTCGTAGAACTGCCCCAGGGGAATGTAGACTCCACCGGCAACAGTGGCTGGGTGTTGC